ATTAAAATATTAAAAGAGAAAATTAATTAAACTTTACCTAAATTCTAAGACAGTAAGAATGTCTTCATCCTGCAATATTTTTAAATGAAATATATTATTGAGGGAAATAGTAATAATAATTAATATAGCTAACGTGAATAGTTAGAGTAAAATATAGGTACAAAGAAAATCAAAGTCCTAACGTCAATATAATCATGTTTTAGAAGTTAATATTGACATGAATGGATAGAGTTTTGTTGTAGTATTATTAGGAGTAAGCGTTGAAATAGGATTACATATACGTTATATACAGATTAAACAGAACCAAAGTTTTTATCATAATCTTTCTACTTACCTCACGCCTTTGGTGCCAGTGCGATTTCCTTTTCTTCTCAGCTATTAGAATGGCCGTCGGTGGAGGCATCTCTTCCGGTGCGGGAAAACGCTACGATGGAAATTTTACTTCAAAGGTCTTTTTCGCTTGCTCTGTTGCGGCTTCGGGTGGATTAATCTTTGGTTATGATCTTGGGATTTCTGGTAAACAAACATTCTCTCTTTGCTTTTTCTTTTATCATTAAAGATTGTTTGGAATATTAATGGCGAACTGATAAATTTTGCAGGTGGAGTTACATCCATGGATCCTTTTCTAGAAAAGTTCTTCCCGAATGTTTATAGGAAAGAAGTATCTGTCCAACCTTCGGACGATCAATACTGTAAGTTTGACAGCCAAATATTAACGTTGTTTACATCTTCGTTATATTTGGCTGCTCTTCTCTCATCCATGACAGCATCTCGGATAACCCGAGGACTTGGGAGGAAGAAGACGATGATGTTCGGAGGTTTACTTTTCACCATCGGCGCCATTCTCAACGGCTTTGCTAGAAACGTACCCATGCTTATTATTGGCCGTGTGTTGCTGGGTTTTGGCATTGGATTTGCCAATCAGGTACTTATCACCATAGTTTTTGTTTTGTTTTGTTTCTGGGTATCGTATATGTTTTTGTTTATATCTGAATTTTACTTGCAGTCTGTTCCGATCTACTTATCTGAGATAGCTCCCTTCAAATACCGAGGAGCTTTGAACATTATGTTCCAATTGTCAATCACCATTGGTATATTAGTTGCCAACTTGTTGAACTACTTCACTGCTAAGATCGAAGGTGGATGGGGTTGGCGAGTAAGCTTGGGTGGAGCCGTCGTCCCTGGTTTGATATTTTCCATTGGTTGTCTCTTCCTCTCGGACTCGCCCAACTCGTTGCTCGAACGCAACAAATTGGTGGAGGCTAAAGATCTTCTGAGAAAGATCCGTGGCATCGAAAATGTTGACGAAGAGTTCAAAGATTTGGCAAAGGCCAGTGAGGCAGCCAAGTTGGTTCAAAGCCCTTGGAGAGATATTGTAAGCAGAAAGTACAGGCCTCAGCTCACCTTTGCAATCTTGATTCCCTTGTTCCAACAATTAACCGGGATGAACGTGTTCGTGTTTTACGCTCCTGTTTTGTTCAAGAGCATGGGGTTTGGCAACAACGCTTCCCTTATGTCCGCACTCATCACTAGCATCGTTAACTTTTGTGCAACACTTGTTTCCATTGCCACCGTCGACAAGTACGGAAGGAGGACTCTTTTCCTCTCCGGTGGCCTTCAAATGTTTCTTTGCCAGGTAATAATCACTATTTCCATTCACCAACACTTAAGCATTTTGATTTTGCTTGCTAAATTCATTCTTTTTCTCTTCTCTGCCTAGCTTGTGATGACTATTTCAATCGCTTCCAAATTCGGTACGAGTGGGAATCCGGGTCAACTTCCACTTTGGTTCTCCGTTGTCGTTGTGGTAGCAATGTGTTTCTACATAGCTGGTTTTGCATATTCATGGGGTCCTTTGGGCTGGTTGGTTCCTAGTGAGATATTCCCACTTGAAATCCGTCCCGCTGCTCAAAGTATTACGGTGGCAGTCAACATGATCTTCACATTCGCCATTGCTCAAGTCTTTACGGCTATGCTTTGCAACTTGAAGTTCGGACTGTTTATATTCTTTGCATTCTGTGTGGTGGGTATGAGCATTTTCATCTATAAGTTATTGCCCGAGACAAAGGGAGTCCCCATTGAAGAAATGTTCATTGTTTGGAAGAACCACCCTTATTGGGGCAAGTATGTAAACGACGACAATGCTATCCCAAGCCATGAAATGGACGAAAAAGTTTGATCTTCGTTTAGAATACCTAGATTAGATTATTGATCAACTTCTTTCGGTTAATTGTTGTTTTTTATTTGATATTAGTTATAACAATTCCTTTTTTTCCCCTTTCAATAAGATATTCTCATTAATCGTATTTATTACAAATAATGTATTTATATCTAGCGCATTCAAAACTTAATAGAAATATAATAAAAATTTATAAAGAAATGTTAAAATATCTAGCACATTAATCTTGTAACTTGATTTAAAATCAATTAGTTACCACGTGCATCTTATCTTAAAATAGTTCAAACTCAATAGTATATCGTAACATACAATTACTATTATAATTATTAAATTTGATTATTCACAGTTTTATTAAAATATAGTTACAATTCCAATAACAAATGAATAATTCATATGATAACAATTGAACTTTAGCAGGTCCAGGTGATTTGTTAAACCCAAAATCAATCGACATCTGACTACGATAATCAAGTCTATTCATCTTACCAACCTACAAATAATCATCATGTCTCTAGGTCTAACACTAGCATTGAGGGTCACTACAAATCTCTAGGCCAAAATTGAGAAAATGACCGAACACCCTAGCCTACACTCATTTCCCTCATGAATACAAAAGATGTTGATACCAACCATTTGTCGTTCAATCATCGATTGTAACTCTCCGCTCAAACTAAAAGGTGTGAACCATTAGCGGCCTACATAGCCAAATTGTTCCCATCAAGAATTAGGATTAAATTAATTTAATGAGAATCTGAACCAAACCAAATTTTAGTTAATGAGCAAAACAATAAATTCTCACACTGCTGCATATAAGTTTCATTTGGAAGGAATTTAACATATTCGACTTTCAGACTTTTGAGTCAACCAAATAATCATATATGTATCTACCGATATATTATATTGATGATATCTACAGAAAAATCAAATGTTATCCCAATAAATCACATCTATTATTCTAATGAAAGTTAACAATAATATCTGTTTTAAGTTGTAATCGAGCTGAAACGAGCATATATAGTGATAAACTCGAATTTGAGCTTAATTCAAAACTCCATAAAGATGGTTATCCAATCCATATATCAAGAAGGAGAAACATGATCTCAGCAACATCAAACAAACGTTTAGCCTCAATAGATCCGCACGCGCCAGCCTGGCGGATACATGAGCGTTCTTATAATCCAAAGCCTCCATCTTCGTCAATCAATCCTAAGGCATTCTCGAGGCCAAAAACATCCTGTCTTTACACATCTTTGTGAATTTCATTAATCAAACACTATGTTCATCGTTAAGGTCTCGAGTCGAGCTGGAATTCATGTCGAATTAACCCGAATCGAGTATTCACTAAATCAAATTCTAACAAATCATAAAATGTTCAACTCATTAAAAACCCCATACGGTCAATTATTCTCCTCCTATCTTATTGAAAAAATCAATGTCAACATACAAAGTGTGTGATCTCTCTTAGTCAAACCAACATTTTAAAATTCATTTGTTTCTTTAGGATTCTTTGGATATTAAAAAGGTTTCTGAAAATAATAATTAATAATTAATATATCTTGTGTTAAAATTCAAACATTTTTGTTGAAAATATGAATATCATTATCATGGCTCAAGAGCTGGAAAATATATAAATATATAGACAAATTAACATGTATATATAGGTTTTAAAATATGTTTAAATTTATTCAATTTGAATGGCTACCTATAAAGATAATCAACGTAAAAAATTAGGCATGCTAAATCTAATAATAATTATTCGAATTTTGAAAGTGATATTATTAAAGATAAAGTAACAACTATAAAATTTCAAAAAAATAGTCTACCATAATATTATTAACTTTTACATGTACAAATTTAAAGTATCTATTTTATGTTAAATTTTTTAAAGTTTAAATTCATCATGGTATTAACGGTAAAAGAGAATATTGTTCTCGCTAGAAGTTGTGGGTAAGGATGGATGCATTAAGCCCCTTAGGGGTCAAGTACATCCCATTATTTTAGAAAAATGATTAAATTTAGTTTAATTTGTTAAGAAAAAAGGAAAAAAAATAATTCGTATACCCGTTATTTTTAAGAAAATAATATTAAAATTTTAGACCATCATCCTTAAATTTTTTAATCCGCCAATAGTCATGTATTCGAACAACTATATATTATCTAATGTGTGTGTATATTATAAATTAATTAAAAAAAATTCTAAACATATAGTACCTTGTAATTAGGATGAATATTCTTCCATCCAATTTTTCAACATCTTCTCCCATCCAAGGAACATGAGATTTGAGATAATTTGGAAATATATAGTAAATAAAGAGAATGCATTAAGAAAATCAATATTCTTCTCAATGGTACAACAATTCCATGCCTAGAGTGATAATAAACATATTGCACAACAAAAAGGAGTGGAAATCCCCAAACTTCATACTTGGACTAAACCTCATGTATGACCTCCATTAATTCATGGAACCTGATTGCGGCTGAAGGAAGAAACTAAATCTTGTAATGATCCATAATCAGGAACTTGAAGCTGCTGCTGTTGCTGTTGGTGAGGAGAGAGCGTTTGACAGTGCATGGAGCTGGTGTTTCCTGCTGGATTATTGCTGGATGATGGGAGGAAATGGCTTAGGAATTCATGAGGTAAACCGGGAACCATCGAGGCCGACGATGACATAATCGAAGGAGAAAACATCCCGGCACCACCATGGCCTCGAAGAGTCGTCGGAATGTGGTGGTTGTGCTTTCCTTCATATGTTGTGATCACCACTGATGGGTCTTGAAACGATCTCTCGACTCGCTTCTTAACGCCACATTTTGGGCTTGTGCATCTGTAGTAACTTCTACAAGTTTTCACAATTATGTGATGAGATATTGCTTCAAGTCATTGAACAACAATGGAGAGCTATCCATGCTGAAATTTAACTGGTAAAAGGAAGATAAAATTAGGGTTTAGAGAGATATGTAGGAAGCATGAACCTTGGATAGGGGCTATTCTTGACGGCCTTCTGTCCGTACTTCCTCCACCTGTAACCATCTTCAAGATTATCAATCTCACTCTTTGTGAGGAATGCAAACCTCGGCTCCTTTTTCTCTTTCTCCTTCTTTGTTGCCTTGTTCCTGCATAATTACTGGTTTTGTCAATAAAAAATGTCTCTCGTGTATTAGGGTTTTAGTAGCTTGAGCTTTCCCCTTGAAATTGATGTTTATCATTTTTTTTTTAAAAAATCTACTGTTTGGTCAAGGAAACAAGCTCATTTATGTTGAAATTTCTTCCAATAATGAAAGAAATCGTTTACTGTTTAAGTTGAAGAAAGATTCCCACAAACCTTTCAGCCTTTACCAAGAAGTGAAAAAGGTGAAAAAACCTACACTTTCTTTGACCTGTCATCTCCATGATCTTCAGGCCCTTTTGGCTTCTTCTCTTTCTTACCATTGCTTGAATCTTCGTCTTCCTTAGAGGAACAAGACACTGAGTAATTGGGTGTTGATGGGTTTTCTTCAGAAATATTATGGTTCTGATTATGATTGTCATCCCCCACTGAATTCTCTGCAGAAACGCCAATTTTCTTGGTGTTAGTAGCAGTACTGTCATCCATGTGACTAACAACATCTGATGAAGAACAAGAGACGTCTACAACTCTCGAAAAGGAGTTGTAGTCGATGATGGAGCCGCCATTAAAGCAGTCGGTGAAGCTCATGTATGAAGGATCGAAGGCCTGTATCGCTGCTGGTGTTGGAGCTGCAGCTCGGTTGTAAATGGAAGGATAGTTTTCGTCAAAGAAGGGAAAAGTTGATCGGTTGAATCCCTGGAAAGGATCGTAGTCATGTTGTGGATTGTTTTTTTCATCTGACGACATGCAAACAGAAATGAAGAAAGAAAGAAAGAACAAAAATTAAAGAAGATGAGAAAGAAAATGGATTTTTGATTTAAGAAACTTTTTTTTTATAAATATATTTGTGTGTGGTGTTAGATTATTTAGCTACTTTTATTATTAAGTCAAATTATGGTTTTGACCATTGTACTATATTCATATTTAGTATTTAGTTTATGTATTTTAATTTGATATAATCTGGCCCTCTCTTTTTGTAATGTTTTAAAAAAGAAAAATCCCTCCTAACTTTATATGCTGGATTTTGTTGCGCAGGAAGGACTGTATAAGAAGAAATTTAAATAATTTATACAAAATAATTAACGGTATTAATTAGTTAGATTAACTAATGATATTATTGAAATAGATAATAAAATTAATTTAAATTAAAGTATTATATGGGCTAAATTCTAAATTTTGAGTATAATAGAAGGATCAAAACCATAACTTGACCTTATTATTTATTTTTATTTTATTATTTATTTGTGTTGTTGATTATGAGAGATGTGTAAAAGGAATGGGTAGGTTTGGCTATTTTCCACTCTCATTTAAATGTCCACTTAAAAAATCTAAATCTCATCGACCAAGGTTGGTTCAAGTGATAAGCAGTTTGATATCACTTAACTATGTCTCAAATTTTGTGTATAGAGAAAATTTTCGTTGAAATATTCACCCACCAAAATTAAGTGCACGATAAGGATTAATCATTAATCTAAATTTGCTAAAGCAAATCTCTAGAAAACCGAAAGAAAAAAAAAATCTCTAAATTTCACCTATCTTTTTCATGGATGATTATAGCTTCTCAAATCAAATAATTGAATATATATTCAGAATGTGTTTGTCAAAATTATCAACCCATCGAATATATACAGTTAATACATTATATTCTTTAAATAAGATATATAATTTAAATTAAGTTATTACGAATAAAATAATCTTTTATAATAAATTTTCTAATATCTAATCCAAATTAAGATATCAATAAATAAATAAATTATTAATAATTATAAAAATTATTTTTATACTCAAATAAATACTTTAATTTATAATTTTAATACCCTTAAACTTTCTAGCTTACTCCTAGAAAACCCTCTAATCCTGAAATCAGGAAAGAAAAGCTCTAACTTTTATACGTAAATAAATCTTAACCATTAACACAGTCCAATTTTACTTTGTGTTGATGAGAATAAATTTATTTTATCGGTTGTCAACGGTTATTTCTTTCATATTTAAATAGAAGTGCAATTTGTACGACTCAACCGTGAGCTAATAATTGATCCGTGTAAGGAGAGAAAAAGGAGGTAAAAGAATATGGCTAGTATAGGTGAGGAAATGGAAAAGGAATGACTCCTTCCCATCAAGTTTGTCTGATGAGATTTTATGTTATCCTTTAACGACTAGTGCCAGGCCTATGATCATCATGTCTCAGTAGACTATACAAATATAGCTGTCAACTATTTGATTTCCTTTGTCAAAGACTACGTCAAAGAATGATGAGTATGGACTCCGTAGAATAATCCTAACGGAGGATGGTTTAAGAGATAATGTGGTGCTTCTGAGTGAATTTTAAAGGTTCTATTCAGAGAACGGAGTCTACCGAGGATCTTTATTGACAGAGAGTTTATAGTTACTTAAAGATTTTCTTTGAAATTATAATAGTTTTATATGTCATTAACCTATTTATTTAATTATTTCAAATATCTAAACCGATAAAGTATTATCAATTGTTGTATTTAAATTTCTTATTCTAAATGTTTTCAAAATAAAAATATATATAACCCTATTTAGATAGGGACTTTAAGTGTAAACATGTAAGGCATTTTTTTATAAAATATTTTCATATTAATTCTTTTATTTGTTTATTTTTAGCTCACATATAAATTTGATACTTAAACTGTGTATTTCCTTTCAAATTGATACTTAAAAGAAATTTTACTCTAATATAAACATTTAAATTTTAATTTCATCTATTATTTTGATATTTTTGTTAATAATATTAATTTTCGATGATGTAATAATATAAAATTATATCATATTTTAATGATGATATCATCATATATATATATATATATATATATATATATATATATATAATTTTTTGAAAACTTTAAAATTAGAAAGATGCAGTTTTCGGTAAAAATAAGTTAAAAAAATATCGATACATAAAAACTTAAAATTTCATTCTTCACGTGAACCTTAAAACTCTAAAATATAGGTCTGGGTTTAAACTTATCTCATTAAAAAATGAAGAATATATTGAAACTTTAAATAAAAATAAATTAATTAATGAGTTATATTAATATATTAAAGAAAAATTGATAAGAACAATTGATAAATTTTTAATATATTTTTATTTTTATGTTGAATATTTATTGTTAACTTTAAAATTTTAATAGCTTTCAAATATTTTTTGAAATAGATGATGTCATGATTAACATATTACATAATTTTATATTATCACATTATTATAAATTAATATTGTTAATAATATCAAAATAATAAATGAGTTAAAGCTCTAATATTAATTTAGAAAAAATTATTTAAATATTAATTTAAGAAAAGATATATAATTCAACTACTCAATATGTAATTAATAACAAATGATTATTTTATAAATACACAACCAATATAAAGTTAAAATGGAAAAACAGGAGTCAGCAAAAGTTATGTGTGCAGTCACAATCAAGTTTTGGAGAAGAGGCTTACACGTATCAGAAATTGGGCACCGCCCTTTGACCGCCGCTAGCACGTGGGAGATATTTCTACTTGGTTGCTTTCCTTTTTTTAATTTTTTTTTTAATTTTGAGAAACGATATATTTAATTTAAAATCCTTTAAAAATAATTAAATTTAATAATCAACCTTTAAAATAGAGTCGAATTATTATTATTTAAACAAAAAATTATTTAGTAAAATATTAAATTTTGTATTAATCAAAGGTGATTACAAGATGATATATGTTTTAAGGATTATCAATCATTTGACAATGAAAATTTAAACACCCTTACAATTTCTAGTACTCGAACTTGATATCTCGAGAGATAATAATCTTTCTTTTAACCGTTATGGTATTGTGGTTCGTGTACTAGAACATTAAATATTAACGTTTTTAACGTAACATCTCATATGTCAATTTATGTATATTTCATGCAATTATTTACATTTTTAAATATTTTATTTTATGTTTTCTCATTTTTAAAATATTTTTAATTATTTCTTAACCTAATATATAAGATAATAATATTATGTAAGCATTAAGTACATATAAACTATCATGTGGACTACTAATTTAAAACCATTAAAGTTTAATTTTTTTAACAATTTCTATATAGGAGAGGAGGAAGGAGAGTTTTTACTCTAACGAGTATGAACTCACAACCTAAGGAGAATATTTAAAATATTATATCAAAAGAATATAAATTTAAGATCTTAAATTTGAATAAAACTAATCTTTTAAAATATAATTTAAAATGATATCATTGTCTCAAATTATTATTAAGAATCATAATCACAATTATTCTTATTCATTCTTAGTGCGCGACCTTATAGGTTTAGTTAACGTTGGCAGTACATAAAATCACATTTGATCCTACAAGTCATAAGTGTCATCTAACAAGATATTATGACTACCCAAGTTATATAAAAGCTCATGATCCGAGGCAACTTAACTCGGTTCATGTCATGATCATTTTATCTTACGATATCTTGATAGAATATAAGAAATGTAAAATGTCAACCTTATATTATCGCTCTATCTTCAAGTTACTCAATTATCAATTTGATAGAGAATCAAGTACATGATATTAACAAAGCATATCCCTTAATCTATTCCTATTGTTAGCTAATTATATCCCTCAATCTATTCCATTTATTTCTTGATCGTAACCATAATTAGGATAGTTATATTTTGTATAAATACCTATAATTTCTAATAATATTTTCAAGCTTTTCAATTACAAATTAAGTGATTATTCTATGTGGTTCCAGAGCAGTAATCCAATCTTTTTCTCTCCCTTCTTTCTTTTCTTACATCAATTTTTCAATGGCCACCAATGATCAATCCATTTTTCCCAACAATGTTGAACCTACCAAGTCTTTTATCATTGTCTCTCTTTCTCGCATTCTCGCATTCTCTCCCACTAATTACATCTCATGAAAAATTCAACTTGAAGCCACAATTATTGACTATGATCTTCATAAATTCATCGATGGTTCTAATCTTGCTCCTCCTAAAACCATTACCCAAAATGAAACTATCATTCCCAATCCCGCCTACAGCAGTTGGTTTCGTCAAGATAAACGCATTTTCAGAGCCCTTGGTGGTACCCTTCCCAACTCCATTGTCTCTCTCATTTCACAATGTTTTACCACTCATGATGCTTGGCAGACTCTTGCAAAAACTTATTCCAATCCCTCCAAAGGTCACCTTAAGTAAATCAAAGATCATCTTTGCAGTATTACCAAGAGTACTCATTTAATCTTTGACTACTTGCAAGAGACTAAACGTTGCACTGATCAACTAGCCTCTCTGGGTCATCCTCTTAATCCTGATGATATAGTTAATAAAATTCTTGGTCAACTCAATGATCCTGACTATGATAGCGTCATTGGTGTTGTTCAAAACCGTAAATCTCCTATCACATTTGAAAAGTTACATGAAAATCTCATCAACCGAGAACTTTCACTCAAACACGAATCTAACTAGTCCACAACCTTTCCTTCCATTATTAACTATGCAACCAAACACAAAAATTGTAACTACTACACGTCTTCCTACATCTCATGACCGCCTTCTCCCCACTCCAAATCAATCCCATTTTCATTCCTCTAGACCTACTCAACCTTTCAAAGCTAGATATCAATGGTGTCGAACTCGAGGCCATTATGTCTCGCAATGTCCCATTTTCTCCCATCAGTTTCCAAATGCCATACCACCTTTTCAATCTCACCCTGTCCTAAAAGGTTATCAACTCTCAATCACTCACGCGTATGCTAAAACTACAACCAATT